AATTTAAAATTGAATATTGTTAATGGAAAAGATACGTTTTCTTATAAAAATATAAGTGCGCTCTCCGTTCGTCAAAATACCCTTGTCAACTCAATATTTTGTGTTTCTATAATTGACCGTGACGCTCAATGTGGTACTGTCGTAAGCGTCGTAAAATAATTACGTGATATACAACTCGATTACACTGAGTCATGGCTAAGAGGAAAAGCTCGATCATAATGGTAAATTTAACTGTAATGACAGAAATATCTATTCCCTGAACATAATGCGTTACGAACATAATTCTAGAAAATTCCAAGCTATCAATTAGAGAAGAAAATGTATGGCAAACAAAATATATAAATCGGCGCAAGAGCACCTGTTTAGAGTACATCTGTGTAGTTTTTTGTTGAATATCGAATTGCAGCCGGCATAGTGTATTAATTCACATACAATTTGTGTCTAAACAGTTTTTTTTTTGCGTCTGCTTGTCGCAAGCAATGTTTTGCCTTGTCATTTATGTGACTAGACTTGACAATATGCTTCCGAGTGTCAAGTTTTCACCTGCTTAAATTTTTTTTGTCTTTAAATTTTAGGCTTTCCAAAGTATCTACTAGTTTATCTAACTTTAGATTCAAATTTCGTGGTAAACCGTCTTCATAATTCAGTAGATCGAAGCTTGAACGTCCCGAGAAGACCTAACCTTCCTTGTTATACAGAGTCGCTTTTACAGATAATGTTGGCATCGTTAATTCGTTTATATCTCATTTAGAGGAAACTAATTCTTTAATATTAGAGATTCATTCTATCCATCTTAAACAGCGTTTAATATCATTAAACGGTCATCCATCACGTCACTTGCATCTGTCAGCCTGTCGTCGCGAAATGAGCAATGTTTATTCATGAGTTCTGCAGAATGGCCGGTGATGATCCCCACGATTAGGCTCGTCAGCCATTGTGTCGCCATCTTGCGAACTGTCAAATACAACAACAGATTCTAAATTTAAATATATGAAGGTAACTAATATTACTTGTTGACATTAAATACTCGAATGGGCGCCGTACAAATTGTTGTAATTCCGAATTAAATAAGCACTCATCTGTACAAATATTCACAAAATTTAAAAATGGTTAAGAAAAAAAACCTGCTTGTAACATAACCGTGTGTTATAAAATTGTGTGTAAATAGATGGAAAGGGGAAGTAGATTTGACAGTGGTGGGGACGTATAAGAAGAGAAAATATCATCATTCTGTGTGTCACCTCCTCCGTCGCTTACAGTTAAAGCATCTGCTTTTGTGGTTATCACGAATCGAATCGCTCTTTCGAATAATTCAGATAGTCGCTTGCTAGTTTACCACATTATGATACAAAAAATATTAATAAGTTTTGATAGTTTTATTAAGGAGACTGCAAACCACTTTACTATACATTCGTAGGCTGTTTTATAAGTTGAACTTGACATAGAACCTGGAGACACAATATCGTCTTTCCGACTTTCACATGCTCTGATATTACTAATGCATTTATTAGCATACTTGTGTTTTAATTAGAAATATATTATAACTTTATGGTTAATATAAAACCTACTGACCTGCTTCCTACATCTTGATTAAATAAAATTTAATTTATCTTTATTCATTATGTTTTTACTACACCCGAATGTTTGAAAATTAAGAGCAGCAATATAAATCTTATATATTTAAAAGGTAAGTTACCATAAATAAATTTTGTTTCAACCAATTATCGTACAAAGTCGAGTTAACCTTTTTCTTTTAACTTGCCTTTTACTCTGAGAAAATATTCGTTAATGCAAAGCTGCGTTTAATTCGCTAACATGTCGGAGAACGTGAGACAGAAAAGGTATCAAGGATCGCGATCTTATAATTATTCAGGTTACTTTCTCTGTAAAGATGAGGACATAATAATGCAGGGATTTCCCTATAGTATAATTATTTATTTGTGATATTCATTTCCAAGAAATCATAAAGTAATTACTCTTACATAAAAACATACCTTGTAAGCCCTATGGATATAATTACGTTGTAGAACAAAGATTACATCCAAGATTTCAAGAAATATCTATCGTTTAAATATCATAAATATACGACATTCAATAAAAATAACTTTTTATAAAAGCTACAGAGAATTCCAAAAACACATTGATTCCACCAGTGTATCCCTAGCCTTATAAAGGAGAATGGTGCGGCGTGATTTTTTGATCTCATTAGCGTCACCCGCGCCGTCGCGCCCTTTGTAACGGTACCTCAAGTGAAGTGGGAAATTATTAGTGATTGATAATGTCGCACTTATCTTACGCCTGGACCGAAGCTCTTGCACGCCCCGCTGACTGTTATCAGCTAAATCAATATTACATGCCGGTAAAACTTGTTACTGTCTACATTATTCAATGAGTTGTTGCACCGAATTCTAAATTGCCTACGTATTTTTTAAGAAAACAACAAAAAAATTGTTGTAATTTTTGTTAAGAGCTTAGACTTAATATCACTAAATAGATTCCGATTAATTCAACACATTGGAAATTATGTAGAAAAAGTAATTAAAGCGTTTTCAATAACCCAATACATACGTCCTAACTTTTTTTTATCATCGTGTGGCAAACGAGCAAGCAGACACATCGCCGAAATAACGAAGTGATCGCTGTCTACAGACATCCGCAAAAGCTGATGCGTTGCCTGCCTACCTAAAGTTGGTTCCCAATTATCAACGGCGAGGATTATCTTCAAGGATTTACAAAAAAAATCTCAGTCTTTCTATATATACGGCAATTTGTTTATTTATTTGTATGTGTACACTTTTATGAGATTGTGCGCGCTTTCCATGTTGATTTTGTAATTTTATTTTATTCTAACGTAAAGAGAATACGCGAAAGGGGCGGACTTAACTGCCAGGTTTAGTGATGGGTCTTACCGACCTCTTTTGTTTAATTTTTACATTCCTCGCAGTTTAATTTTAAAAAATCGTGTAATTTCATGTAGACTTTATACTATTATTTGGAGTAATATTTTTCTATGCGAATGACTTTGGCTCATGTTTGATTTTCTTATTAAAAATTGTTCTTAGATATTTTTATGCACACAGAATAGTGTCTTACAATGTAATGAAGCAAAGATTTACTAGCATACTTTAATTATAGTAAATTATTTGATTTGTATTCAACAATAATACAATTTTTATATTAAAAAACATTTCAGGAATAGTTTACTATAGTAAATTTTTTTTGTATTTAAACATCTGTCCACTAAATTATACAACATCCCTACACATTCATAGTCGTACAAGTTAACAGCAATGCAAATTAAACAAGCCAGAGATTAATGCGAAAACGTGGTTAATATGGAACATGAGCGCTAATGGAACCCTCGTCTGGATAACGTCCGTGGATACGTGCCTGCTGCATTGTGTGTCAATGGAAACAGCTTTTACAACTGACATTCATTATGTCGTTTACCTATTTTGTTTAAAATTAATTACCGACGGAATTTAATAAATAAAATTATAGTATTTTTTTTCTTGATTTATGTAACCTTACATTGTTTACCATGAGTTACTGAATGATGTAAGATTCAGTTTTTCTTGGATATAAAAGGTTGATTTTTAAGCTATTAAATAGCCAGATTCTTGTTGAATTTATTAATTCATTGGTCACAGTGCGCGTTGTCTAGACAGGTAATTCAGTCGGTTACGGCTTATTTATTCATAAGACTGGGACCCTGACACATCTAGAAGTTCATGGCCATGTAACATGTATTTTTTGGGACAGAAGCTATAAACCTCGTAAATGGTATTTAGATGCAATGCATGTAAATTATATTGATCAAGATAGTAAAATTTTCAAGACAATCATTGAAAAATATTTTGTTCACTAAATACGGCAAAACAGTCATCTATGGCAAAGTATACAATAGATAATTGGAATTAGATAATTTCATTTTTCTATTTCTTCTAAATGTAAGATCTTTCTTATTTATTTTACCGTAAGGTTCCAAAAGTACTTATCTATTGAGTAAACAATGTGTACTACAATTACCCCAACTCTGTAAGAAAATTCCAATCAAAAACTTTCACTTATATTTCAAGAGTCCAATTAATGAAGGAAGCAAATAAGGGCAGCATTTGCTTTAATATCTGCAGTGAGCGTGTGGTGCCAATTAGTGCCAGCAGGTCGGCGTACTTCGTGATAAATATCAGCCACCGAGCGCATTGTTAGCTACATATCAGTGAATCACCTAGCTGAGACAACACTGCAATTATAGTAAAGCAAACAACCTAGATGCAACTACTACATACGATAAAATTCAAAGATGTGGGAAGTCAACCTATCCGTCCTGGGATAATGTAATACTAAGGCCTAGTAACCACTAACTTGAGTTCGGCTCAAACAACTCGGTGGAGAAACATTTGAGCCGATCTGAAACCTAAAAATATTAATACGTCATTCTCATAGTGCTTAGCGCGTAGCTACAATTCATAAACGGTTTACAAAAAACATAGAGCACAAAAGCACAATGTAAAAATTTTGAGGCTACATTAATTCAATCCATTGTAATAAAGCTGCGTCTACACTATAAAGACTAGACTTAAAAAACGAGGCATGCCATCTCGTCTAAGAAATGTTAATGAATTCCGCGATGAAGTGGTACTATTAGCTAGTTACTCTATTATCGTTGATTGGTTTCGTTCTTATAGCTTGAACCAAACAAGGAGCATTTCACACGCGAATGAGTTCGCGTGACTACTTCAATATAAGCATGTGGGATGCATTATCTAACGCCTAAGTTGATCGAACGAGACCTACACGGTATAGCACGCATTTGTAATATTATAATTGTTTCTTTAACCTTCTACATGAGGGTCAATTATAAAATTACTTGGAAATTGAATAATTCTTGCGAAGACATTTTGTTTAAAAAGGGACTATCGCTACATTTCATGATATATTCAGTATTTTGTAATTTCACTTTTTAATGTAAAACATTGATTATATTTTTCTCTTTACAGGTAAACAAACACGGCAATGTAATTGGATTTTGGCTACAATATTAAGTAAGGTGTAGTTAAGTTTTTTTAGTAACTAACTAAAATACAGAGCACAATTAGTAAACAGCAAAATTTTAAATGTAATAAATCTTTTGATTGATGACATTACATTACTAAAAAGAGCTCAAAATAAAACGTCAGGTAATTTATCTAAAACACCAAAATTTCGATCACTTCCTATCAAAGGGGGTCGTTGACCAAACAGGTACTTAGACAAGGCACGTGTGTTCTATATGCATCATGGATGCAAGTAGGTCACTAAGACCTCGGACAGTCACGACTTTGCACGCCTCCGTACGTGCTGGCTGGCTAATTATCCTAACACTGTGACGATGCCCTGTCCGTATTATAATTAAAGTGTTAAGAGACACCTGACTAGACAGGCGACACGCTATAAACCTCTTTGTTAAGAAAATACTCGTCGTTAACTTACAGTCGAAGCTCGAGATTATTCCCAACCGTCACACCGTTTTGTCCCCACGTGGAGACTGATGAGAATAAAAAATTCATCCGTCCCACCTTTTGCGACAAGGGGAAAGTTGGGGCTTATTTTATTTCATAACGGTTCTATCTGTCACCTTGTTGGTGATAGTGGGACTAAAAGGTGGGTCGAATGAAACTTTTTATTCTCATGTGGGGACAGAGCGGGGTGACGGTTGGGAATAATCCGATTCTCGAGGCTATCCTAACGCCCGTTTCACATGCTTAGTTAAAACGTTGCAGCATTAATTGAATTTGTCAGAATGTGATTTGTTTAAAGACAAAATCATCTCTCTTGTTCATTTTAAAAAGTGGAGTTAAGAATATTTTTAAAATATTTTTTTGACGAAATTCACTGATGTGTTATTTTATCAGATACGATAAAAATACATTTTTAAATTTAACGTAATACTTCGTTATCTCTAATAAAGAATCTATCGTGTTAGATATCGATCTTAGAGATATAAATAATAGATCTTATTAACAGTGTCTATATCACTGTAGAGTAAAATATAAATACAAATGTTTGAAACAAACTAGTTTTCCACAACGGACTTAATCGATAATTGTCGTGAGAAAAAAAATTGAGAAATATCTGCATAATCTCATGACCTCTGATAGATTCACACTTACTAATTGGTAGATTAAACCGGCAAATATTGTATGTAGGGTGCGAAATCCCGAAATTTCGTGTGTAAATAAAAATGTCCGTTATTGTGTTTTAGATCTTGCACAAAGAACTTAGTTTATAAACTAAAAGATAATATAACAACCAAATTTGTGCGTGTTTCGACATTCTATTCATTAAAAAGGTTCTTCATAAACAGTATATGGCAACAGCACCAGGTCACCTGCACCGCTTGTCCATTGTCCTATTTACTTCATAATCATAAAAAAAAAATCATAAACAGATATTTTGATGGTATCAATTTTTATCAAATTTGCTACTCGTAAGTATTTGGCTCACTATTCCTTGCGGCACTTTTCATCTCTATTTGTATTTCTTATCGGCATTTCGTGCCAGTCGTATTATTGTAATCGACCTCTTTGCTATCTTTTATCAAGACTATTCAGAGGCTTTCTTACGTCACCGTAAAGTCGAAAATCCCGCGAAAATTGACGCGCAGAATGCGGAAATGTAAAAACTCGCACTACTCTTCCACGAACAGATTCATCAAGTTAATGTAATGGAGATTCGCTTTATTTATTCTTATGCAGATACCAATGAGCTATGGATCACTAATGTCGCAGATATCAATGCTGACAGATTCGCAACATTTAAATGTCAAGATGTATTTTATTTTCTTTTTTGTTTTTGTTTTAATTTAACATTCCAATGTGGCCAGTGATAAAATTTTAAGTTTATCTTAACTCGATTTATAATTTAACCTCGTATCAAATTGTCAATTAAAGAAAACGCGTTCCGTTGAAGTAGCGAAGTTAAATGTGGAAACGTTTCTCTTAATTTTATCTTAAAACTTCGAGTATAGATAGAAACAGTGAACCTTAGTTCAATCCCCAGATAACATAGCTATACCAGATTATGACATCATATTTACTGGTGCCATTAACAAAGTTATGTCATTTTGCTCAAACGAACGCGATATCGAGTTTGAATAAAGCGATTATCATACTAATATTATAAATGCGAAAGTTTAGATGGATGGATGGATGGATGTTTGTTAGAGTCTGTAGCCTAAACGGTTGAACGGATTTCGTTAAAAATTGGCATAGATGTAGAGGATAGTCTGGAAGAACACATAGGCTACTTGCTTTATTTTATTTCAATTCCGCGCAGACAGAGTCGCGGGCGAAAGCTAGTTTTAATGTTACGCATTTATTACAGAAATCATTACAGATTCAAAGTTTTAAACATTAATGTACGTTTCACAGACTTTAGACTAAGTCGGTAGACTCTCTATAAATTTCTCTTTGGTAGCATACAATATGTAGTGAAACTTCTATTAAATAAAATGGGTAATAAATGAGTCATAATCGTTTTCCTTGTCTTTGATTACGTAACTAAAATTCGTCCGATTAGAAACCCAACTTTCTTCCGTAGCAGTAACCTTAACGGTAAGACACTACCAGCTGACTCACTATCGGCGCGTTTATTACCATCATCTACATTCAAACCACGTACCAATGGGTTACCCGTACTACGAGACGAGACAAGTCCGGGTTCAATACCTAATTAAGTCTCTACATGTTTAGGTTTACCCTTTATGACACGTTAACAAACAAATGAATCAAAATTATAAAATAATTAAAAAAAAAGGAGAATAATTTTTAGTAAAAATATTAGTATGTTTTTTTTTTGTTAATTTACTAACATTTCCTTTAACCATTCCAACTTAGCTCTAGTCTTGTGCTAGGGATATGGTTCACGACAGTAATCTAATGGCGGGATTCGAACCCTCGACAACAAGATCGGTAGTCCGGTGCTTTCATCCATAAAACTAATAATTTTACTAACATCAAGAATTTCTGAAACGACAGTAGTTTAGCTACAGAATGGCATCTACGCAAACGCATGAAATGTTTTAACTAGTACTGACTGTATTTCGGAAACAGCGTGTTGTTTTGGCCTCATTATGCAACTAGACACGGCGTTTGACCCACAAACTGCCCGCCAACATTGTTTTACTTCCTTATCAGTATCTAAGAGGAGCTGATAACGTTATCAGAGATAATGCTTCACCAGCGAGCAAGGTGTTATGGCGAAAAAGCCATGCTAATTAGATATTATTATATAATTTCTTGTATTACTTTGAAAAAGGTTGAAATGAATAGAGAAATAATTATTTTGGTAAAAGCTTAAAAATCGCCTTTTCTGTAATTTTAATTGTAATGATTTCGTAATTTTATAACAAAAATGGTTCAAGACTTTACAAAATAAATAAAATCAACTATTCTGAATTAAACTGACAATGTTTGTTGAAAAGTGTATCTTATGTCATACTCAATAAAATTAAAATGGTTAAACTACAGGACCCTACTTGAAAGTAAAATTTTAAATTAACAATATTTTTTAATTGGCTCTATATTATAGCGAACCTATAAATCGGTCAAGGAAAGTCACATATTTAAACAAAACAGTATTCATTTATTTTATATCGTATCTGAAAACGATTATCCAAATTTGATATTTAAACAAACAGAATAAAGGCGAAAATGGAATGTCCAGTTTCTGACCTTGTAAGCCTGTGGGTGTAGATATCAACCTTAAAGACATCTCTTGACTTATCATTCATGACATCACAGTTTAAACCAGATTCCGTCAGATGTCGTGATACCGATTCCATGTATCCTCTAACACACACTATTAAAGTTCTAAATATATAAATGACGTAGCTTGTAAAACGAAGAACGTTTTCACAATAAACCATTAGGTATTCCTGATTGGACTATAAAGCACCTCATTATACCGGCAAAGGATCTAAAAGACATAAAAGAACTACAATAAACGTCTAAGAGTCTAGTCTAGCCCCTATCGTATATTAAATGGCCTGTCGATAGCATACATAGACTTAAGTCTCGATCTGATATCAAAGACAAATTTAAATTACAGAAAATTTATCGTTGTATATGTTATTTTGTAAAATACCTACTATTCTATTCGCACGCTATCTCACTGATATTATAAATGCGAAATTGATAGATGTTTGTTAGAGTTAGTACCCTAAACTGTTGATTGGATCTTGATAAAATTTGGTATAGATGTAGTCTGGAAGTCATTAGAAGAACTCACAAACTACTTGCTGTTTTTTTTATTATGCGCACAAGAAGTCGCGGGCGAAAGCTAACCATATAAATAACTAAGACAAAATTGTGTATCTGTATTTGCTACAATTTTATATCATAACCCCGTAGTCCATACACAAACATTCATTCAACCTCTTTCTATTCGGAATGCTCGCAACATGGCCTCATACCACTATAAATAAACTTAAGCACATCGAGTGTACAAAATACATATTTATAGACACGGAGCCAACAAAGTCAAACACTGGCAGGGTAAGAACCTCTAAAGTAGTAAACTAACGGAAAGTAAGTAAAATGATCACGTATAGGACGAAAGTTAAATATTTTTGAAAATTATTAAACAATGAAGTACCGTAAGTGGATCCTGGAGATACCGTTCGAAATCCTAGAGAATGTATGTTACACTTGGAATGCTGGATATATAATAAATGTGTGGAATATCCTTTCCATTAAAAGCTCTTTCGTGTTAGATAAAAAAAAAAGGATGGAAAAACGTTACATGATAAACTTTAACTAAATATGCGAGTATAAATTTTGACTTGACACGATTGCCCTTTAGAGCGAGCGCACAACTGAGACTAAACTATCGCACAACTATTGTGCGATTGTCGACTGTTTCGCAGACAATTTGTTTAGTTACACAACTTAAAAATCGAGTAGTGTGCGCATCTCCATAGTTTCAGATGTGTGCCCTTAAAGGAACTATTGATAAAAGCTAAAAGTTGAGCTTATAGAAAATCGATAATATTATCTGTATTATC